GATAGATAGATAGAAAGATGATAGATAGAAAGATAGATAGATGATAGATAGATAGAAAGATGAGATAGATAGATGATAGATAGATAGATAGACAGATGATAGATAGAATAGATAGATAGATAGATCTGTAGAATAGATAGATCGATAGAATAGATAGAATAGATAGATAGATATACATAGATAGATAGATAGATAGACAGATAGATAGATCGATAGATAGACAGATGATAGATAGATAGATGATAGATAGATAGATAGACGGATAGATAGATAGATGATAGATAGATAGATAGAAAGATGATAGATAGAAAGATAGATAGATGATAGATAGATAGAAAGATGAGATAGATAGATGATAGATAGATAGATAGACAGATGATAGATAGAATAGATAGATAGATAGATCTGTAGAATAGATAGATCGATAGAATAGATAGAATAGATAGATAGATATACATAGATAGATAGATAGATAGACAGATAGATAGATCGATAGATAGACAGATGATAGATAGATAGATGATAGATAGATAGACGGATAGATAGATAGATGATAGAAAGATGATAGATAGATAGACGAATAGATAGATAGCTGATAGATAGAAAGATGATAGATAGATAGAAAGATAGATAGATAGATGATAGATAGATATAAAGATGATAGATAGGATAGATAGATTATAGATAGATAGATAGATAGATAGATAGAAAGATGATAGACAGATGTTAGATAGATAGATAGAAAGATGATAGACAGCTAGATAGATAGAAAGATGATAGAGAGAAAGATGATAGATAGATAGATAGAAAGATGATAGACAGACAGATGATAGATAGATAGATGATAGATAGATAGAAAGATGATAGACAGATAGATATAGATAGAAAGATGATAGATAGACAGACAGATAGATAGACAGATAGACAGATGATAGATAGATAGATGATAGATAGATGATAGATAGACAGATGATAGATAGATAGACAGATAGATAGATAGATAGATCGATAGATAGACAGATGATAGATAGATAGATAGATAGATAAGTCAGAAGATAGATAGATAGATAGATAGATAGATAGATAGATAGATAGGTAAGATAGATCGATAGAATAGATGATAGATAGATAGATAGATAGATAGATAGATAGATAGATAGATAGATTAAATGGCTTTTATTCAAAAATACTATTCACTTCATAGTAATAATAATTATTATTATTATTATTATTATCATTGTAATCATTTATTATTATAAAGTGTGAATAGTATTTTTGAATAAAATAGCACCCTGCCAAATTCAGACTCCATTTAACAAATTTAATTCTGCAAAAATTCAAGTATTGCACTAGACAGGTCACATGACATACAAAAACAGGTTTATATTCAAATGAAAAATGACTTCTAGAAAAATCATTACAACAATTTGCAGATGGCAAATTTGATTTCACTGTTTTTAATCAATCACAAATATCAATCAATTTAGCGGTCACACAAAAAAACTATAAAAAAAACCTCTTAAATAATAACCTTAGTGTCACTGAACTACAAACATACCATAAATAAAACTTCATAGTCTATATAACTAAACATCATTAATATCTTGTACCTAAAATGTCCTATAGAACATCAACCTCTCAAACAAACAAATAATAATAGCATTCTCTCAGCATGGTTCTCAAAACACACTGGACAGATAAAGATGACAGCAGCCACGAACATTCCAGAGATGTTTTTACGATAACCAAGATCTCTCCAGCTGATTTAGCTCTAAAACCCAACCAATCCAGCAGCGCTTCTCTGGCTTCCTGAAGCGCTCTCTCTGCCTGAACCCAACTGAGACAGACTAGACGCTCTCGAGTTAAGAGCCGAGCACACGGATCCGTTCGCTCTGGAGGACGTTGAGGCTTTGGACTGAGGACTGACACTACTGACTGAGCTGCCTGAGCGAGAGCCTCCGTCAGCCCTCTGGTGGTTTGAAGAGTAAGAGGACTCTCGGCTCCTCTCAGGGGCCTCAAACTCAAGTGGCTCCTGTAAAGGTGGGGAGGCACGACAAAAGCTGACTGGACTCAGAGGCACTTCCTGTTGGGAATGAGGCCGGGGAAAGTCTTCAGTGTTAGCAGGAGGTTCTGAATGAGTCCTGGATTCAGGTTGAGGGATGTCTGCCGTCTGTGTGGTGATTAGAGAAATAAGAATAATATTGTAATTAAATACTAATAAATATTAAAAATCAATACAAATAAATACACTACCATTTAAAAGTTTGGGGTTGAAAGTCTTATTAATCTTTTCCAAAAATGTCTCTTCTGCTCACTAAGGCTGCAGTTATTTGATGAAAACAAAAAGAATTAAAACAGCAATTTTGTGAAATATTATATTTTGAAATAACTATTTTCTATTTTAATATATTGTAAAATATAATTTATGCCTGTGATCAAAGTGTCCTTTTGTTGCATTATAAATGTCTTTTCTGTTACCTTTTTCATCAATTTAATGCATCCTTGCTGAATGAAAACATTAATATGTGATATAATTATTTATATTAGTGCTGTCAAACGATTAATCGCAATTAATCGCATCCAAAATAAGTGTGTAATATATATATAAATAATGTGTGTATACTATGTATATTTATGTATAAATACAAACACATGCATGTATATATTTGAGAAAAATATGTTGTTTATATATTATATTTATATATAAGAATATAAATATATAAATGTATATACATGTAAA